CCGAGTTGTGTTTAAAAATTGATAACTTCGAGGTTTATGGGAATTAAGAAATGACTTGTGGCACATTATATCTTCATTAAATTTGCTTTAAAATGCTTGTTATTTCGTAACTACATCTCAATTCCTTCTTGAGATACAATGTTTTTAATCCAAATGTCTACAACGATCACATTTATTAGGTTGAGCTTAAAAAGTCATAACAACGAGGTTTATGAAAAATAAGAAATGATTTATGGCACATTGTATCTTCATTAAATTTGCTTTAGAATGCTTTTTATTTCATAACGATATCTCAATTCCTTCTTGAGATACAATGTTTTTAATCCAAATGTCTAAAACAGTCGCATTTATTAGGTTGATCTTAAAAAGTCATAACAACGAAGTTTATGGAAAGTAAGAAATGATTTATGGCACATTGTATCTTCATTAAATTTGCTTCAAAATGTATCTTATTTCATCGTAATATTTCAATTAGTTCTTGAGATACGACATCTTAATTTTATTCTTAGAATTTAGAACAATCAAAAATGCTGAGTTAAGTTTAAAAATTGATAACTTCGAATTTTATGGGAATCAAGAAATATCTTGTGGCACATTACATCTTTATTAAATTAGCTTTAAAATGCTTGTTATTTCATAACGATATCTCAATTCCTTCTTGAGATACAATGTTTTCAATCCGAATGTCTAAAACAGTCACATTTATTAGGTTGAGCTTAAAAAGTCATAACAACGAGGTTTATGGAAAATAAGAAATGATTTATGGCACATTGTATCTTCATTAAATTTGCTTTAAAATGTATCTTATTTTATTGTGATATCTCAATCGGTTCTTGAGATACGACTTCTTAATTTTATTCTTAGAATTTAGACCAATCAAAAATGCCGAGTTGTGTTTAAAAATTGATAACATCGAAATTTATAGGAATTAAGAAATTACTTGTGGCACATTACATCTTCATTAAATTTGCTTTAAAATGCTTGTTATTTCATAACTATATCTCAATTCCTTCTTGAGATACAATGTTTTTAATCCAAATGTCTAAAACGGTCACATTTATTAGGTTGAGCTTAAAAAGTCATAAGAACGAGCTTTATGGAAAATAAGAAATGATTTAAGGCACATTGTATCTTCATTAAATTTGCTTCAAAATGTATCTTATTTCATCGTGATATCTCAATTGGTTCTTGAGATACGACTTCTTAATTTTATTCTCAGAATTTAGACCAATCAAAAATGCTGAGTTGTGTTTAAAAATTGATAACTTCGAATTTTATGGGAATCAAGAAATGACTTGTGGCACGTTACATCTTCATTAAATTTGCTTTAAAATGCTTGTTATTTCATAACGATATCTCAATTCCTTCTTGAGATACAATGTTTTTAATTCAAATATCTAAAACAATCACATTTATTAGGTTGAGCTTAAAAAATCATAACAACGAAGTTTATAGAAAATAAGAAATGATTTATGGCACATTGTATCTTCATTAAATTTGCTTTAAAATGTATCTAATTTTATCGTGATATCTCAATTGGTTCTTGAGATACGATTTCTTAGTTTTATTCTTAGGACTTAGAACAAACATTCTAAGTTGTGGTTAAAAATTGATAACTTCGAGGTTTATGATAACTAAGAATTGGCTTGTGGCACATTAAATCATCATTAAATTAGCTTTAAAATGCTTTTTATTTCAGAACGATGTCTCAATTCCTTCTTGAGATACAATGTATTTAATCGAAATGTCTAAAACAATCACATTTATTAGGTTGAGCTTAAAGACTCGTAATTACGAGGTTTATGGCAAATAAGAAATGATTTATGGCACATTGTATCTTCATTAAATTTGCTTTAAAATGTATCTTATTTTATTGTCATATCTCAATCGGTTCTTGAGATACGACTTCTTAACTTTATTTTTAGAATTTAGACCAATCAAAAATGCCGAGTTGTGTTTAAAAATTGATAACTTCGAATTTTATGGGAATCAAGAAATGACTTGTGGCACATTACATCTTTATTAAATTTGCTTTAAAATGCTTCTTATTTCATAACTATATCTCAATTCCTTCTTGAGATACAATGTTTTTAATCCAAATGTCTAAAACGGTCGCATTTATTAGGTTAAGCTTAAAAAGTCATAACAACGAGGTTTATGGAAAATAAGAAATGATTTATGGCACATTGTATCTTCATTAAATCTGCTTCAAAATGTATCTTACTTCATCGTGATATTTCAATTAGTTCTTGAGATACGACTTTTTAATTTTATTCTTAGAATTTAAACCAATCAAAAATGCCGAGTTGTGTTTAAAAATTGATAACTTCGAATTTTATGGGAATCAAGAAATGTCTTGCGACACATTATATCTTTATTAAATTAGCTTTAAAATGCTTTTTATTTCATAATGATATCTCAATTCCTTCTTGAGGTACAATGTTTTTAATACAAATGTCTAAAACAGTCACATTTATTAGGTTGAGCTTAAAGACTCGTAATTACGAGGTTTATGGAAAATAAGAAATGATTTATGGCACATTGTATCTTCATTAAATTTGCTTTAAAATGTATCTTATTTTATTGTCATATCTCAATCGGTTCTTGAGATACGACTTCTTAACTTTATTTTTAAAATTTAGACCAATCAAAAATGCCGAGTTATGTTTAAAAATTGATAACTTCGAATTTTATGGGAATCAAGAAATGACTTGTGGCACATTACATCTTTATTAAATTTGCTTTAAAATGCTTGTTATTTCATAACTATATCTCAATTCCTTCTTGAGATACAATGTTTTTAATCCAAATGTCTAAAACGGTCGCATTTATTAGGTTAAGCTTAAAAAGTCATAACAACGAGGTTTATAGAAAATAAGAAATGATTTATGGCACATTGTATCTTCATTAAATTTGCTTTAAAATGCTTGTTATTTCATAACGATATCTCAATTCCTTCTTGAGATACAATGTTTTTAATCCAAATGTTTAAAACAGTCATATTTGTTAGGTTGAGCTTAAAAAGTCATAACAACGAGGTTTATGGAAAATAAGAAATGATTTATGGCACATTGTATCTTCATTAAATTTGCTTTAAAATGTATCTTATTTTATTGTGATATCTCAATCGGTTCTTGAGATACGACTTCTTAATTTTATTCTTAGAATTTAGAACAATCAAAAATGCCGAGTTGTGTTTAAAAATTGATATATTCGAGGTTTATAGGAATTAAGAAATGACTTGTGTCACATTAAATCATCATTAAATTAGCTTTAAAATCCTTTTTATTTCATAACGATATCTCAATTCCTTCTTGAGATACAATGTTTTTAATCCAAATGTCTAAAACACTCACATTTATTAGGTTGAACTTAAAAACTTGTAATTACGAGGTTTATGAAAAATAAGAAATGATTTATGGCTTCAAAATGTATCTAATTTTATCGTGATATCTCAATTGGTTCTTGAGATACGATTTCTTAATTTTATTCTTAGAATTTAGACGAATCAAACATGTCAAGTTGTGTTTAAAAATTGATAACTTCGAAATTTATAGGAATTAAGAAATGACTTGTTTCACATTATATCTTCATTAAATTTGCTTTAAAATGCTTTTTATTTCAGAACGATATCTCAATTCCTCCTTGAGATACAATGTTTTTAATCCAAGTGTTTAAAACAGTCACATTTATTAGGTTGAGGTTAAAGACTCGTAATTACGAGGTTTATGGAAAATAAGAAATGTTTTATGGCACATTACATCTTCATTAAATTTGCTTTAAAATGCTTGTTATTTCATAACGATGTCTCAATTCCTTCTTGAGATATAATGTTTTTAATCGAAATGTCACATTTGTTAGGTTAAGCTTAAAGACTCATAACAACGAGGTTTATTTAAAATAAGAAATGATTTAAGGCACATTGTAAATTCATTAAATTTGCTTCAAAATTTATCTTATTTCATCGTGATATCTCAATTGGTTCTTGAGATACGACTTCTTAATTTTATTCTTAGAATTTAGACCAATCAAACATGTCGAGTTGTGTTTAAAAATTGATAACTTCGAGGTTTATGGGAATTAAGAAACGACTTGTGGCACATTAATTCTTTATCAAATTTGCTTTACAATGTTGTTAATTTCGTCATTATATCTCAAGAGGTTCTGGAGATATTAAGGAATAAATAAGCGTTGGCAGTTATAATTCTACATCCTCATAAAGTGCACATTTTGATTTCTCCTCCTCTGAGTTTTCTAAAATCGGGTGCTCAAGATGTAAATTGATTTTAGCAATTAACATCTTATTTACCTTCTTATAGAACTGGTTTCAGCAATCAATTTGGCAATCTCAAATCTTCATTCTAAGATTCTTAAGATGAGACAGATTTCAGCAATTAATCTCAGAAATGGACGTGGGGTAAAGTTGGATCTTTTATTTGAATGTGAAAAATGCATAATCTTGTTTAGTTAGGCCACTTAATTAAATCATCCTGTATAATCTTCGAATTGAAGGTGTTAAAATAAGAAATAAAAAAAAGCATTCGCGGTTTCCGCAAAAATCCGTCGGCGTCCAAGGTCGTGGTGGCGAGAGAGCCACTAATTATACCTACACACAAACACACACTCATGTACGGACACACAAACACGTAGAGAGAGAGTTAGCAGCCGCCGAAACGGGGCCTTTTCTGCGTATAAAAAATTCGCCAAACACGCAGGTTAGAAGAGAGATGCTTTGTCGGACGGCGGCACGAAACGCCCGGCACACCAACAATCGTCGCCGGTTGTCGGTGCAAATATATCAAGGTTGCCCGCCCCAGGTTCTCTTTCCGTAACCTTGGCGAGTTTGACTTTTACCTATGAGAAAAAATTCGCGAACCATTAGATTAGGTCAGTACGTCTCGTCATGCAAAAAAATCCTTTCTTGAACATCAACTGTAACAATAAAACTTTACCAACACGTTGAAATTTGTATATTACATATATTTTTTTAATTGTTTTAGTGTGGTCTATCTCAGACATGGGAAGTGAGCACTACTGCCTGAGGTGGAACAATCATCAGAGCAACCTGCTGGGCGTCTTCAGCCAACTGCTCCGGGACGAAAGCCTCGTTGACGTCACACTGGCCTGCTCGGAAGGCCACTCGATCCGTGCTCACAAGGTAGTACTGTCGGCCTGCAGCTCATATTTTCAAAATCTCTTCGTTGACCACCCGAGCCGACACCCAATCGTAATATTGAAAGACGTGCGTTTCGCCGAATTACGCACCCTCGTCGATTTCATGTACAAGGGCGAGGTGAACGTTGAGTACTGTCAGCTATCGGCGCTGCTCAAAACGGCCGAAAGCCTCAAAGTTAAGGGGCTCGCCGAAATGACCAATTTAGGCCCAAATAGGGATTATGACAAGGGCGGCGTCCCGGAGCCTGAACAGCTCGAACCGACCGAGCTCGTCAACAAACGGGTGATGATGACGGAAGAATCGTCGTCTTCCAGCCGACCAGATAGACCAGACAGGTCTGAGAGGATTGATAGGATCGAAAGGTTGGATAGGATGGAAAGGATTGAAAGGATCTCGGAACGAATGGAAAGGATCTCCGATCGGTTGGAAAGCAGCAACAGGGAGCAACAGATTCAAACGCCTCCTGCAAAAATCCCCAAGAACAGCAGCCCTGAAAGGCCCGAAAGTGTTGAAGGTGACAGATCTGAATCTCCCGCTGAAGAGTGCAGGCCGAGTGATATGAGTATGCATAATAATGGAAATAATGTGAGCTGTACGACCACCTCTGCAACTGTTGGAACACCTTGTAACAGGATACCGTCTCCAATTAACAGCGAACCGTTACCCGGTCCTTCTAATTTACCGCCAGTCCAACAAGTGCCTCTCGTAAGTAAAATTTACCCATATTTTTAATACTTGAATAATAATGTCTAAAACTGTCAGCTTGAGCTTAAAAATTCATAACAACGAGGTTTATGGAAAATAAGAAATGATTTATGGCACATTAAATCATCATTAAATTAGCTTTAAAATGCTTTTTATTTCATAACGATATCTCAATTCCTTCTTGAGATACAATGCTTTCAATCCAAATGTCTAAAACAGTCGCATTTATTAGGTTGAGCTTAAAAAATCATAACAACGAGGTTTATGGAAAATAAGAAATGATTTATGGCACATTGTATCTTCATTAAATTTGCTTTAAAATGCTTTTTATTTCATCGTAATATCTCAATTGGTTCTTGAGATACGACTTCTTAATTTTATTCTTAGAATTTAGAACAAACATGCTAAATTGTGTTCAAAAATTGATAACTTTGAGATTTATAAGAATTAAGAATTGTCTTGTGGCGCATTAAATCATCATTAAATTAGCTTTAAAATGCTTTTTATTTCATAACGATATCTCAATTCCTTCTTGAGATACAATGTTTTCAATCCGAATGTCTAAAACAGTCGCATTTATTAGGTTGAGCTTAAAAATTCATAACTACGAGGTTTATGGAAAATAAGAAATGATTTATGGCACATTGTATCTTCATTAAATTTGCTTTAAAATGCTTTCTATTTCGTCGTGATATCTCAATTGGTTCTTGAGATACGATTTCTTAATTTTATTCTTAGAATTTAGAACAAACATGCTAAATTGTGTTTAAAAATTGATAACTTCGAGGTTTATGAGATTTAAGAATTGATTTGTGACCCATTAAATTAGCTTTAAAATGCTTTTTATTTCATAACGATATCTCAATTCCTTCTTGAGATACAATGTTTTCAATCCGAATGTCTAAAACGGTCGCATTTATTAGGTTGAGCTTAAAAATTCATAACAACGAGGTTTATGGAAAATAAGAAATGATTTATGGCACATTGTATTTTCATTAAATTTGCTTTAAAATGCTTTTTATTTCATCGTGATATCTCAATTGGTTTTTGAGATACGACTTCTTAATTTTATTCTTAGAATTTAGAACAAACATGCTAAATTGTGTTTAAAAATTGATAACTTTGAGATTTATAAGAATTAAGAATTGTCTTGTGGCGCATTAAATCATCATTAAATTAGCTTTAAAATGCTTTTTATTTCATAACGATATCTCAATTCCTTCTTGAGATACAATGTTTTCAATCCAAGCGTCTAAAACAGTCGCATTTATTAGGTTGAGATTAAAAAATCATAACAACGAGGTTTATGGAAAATAAGAAATGATTTATGGCACATTGTATCTTCATTAAATTTGCTTTAAAATGTATTATAATTCATCGTGATATCTCAATTGGTTCTTGAGATACGATGTCTTAATTTCATTCTTCGAATTTAGACCAATCAAACATGTCGAGTTGTGTTTAAAAATTGATAAATTCGAGATTTATGGGAATTAAGAAATGACTTGTGGCACATTAATTCTTTATTAAATTTGCTTTACAACGCTGTTAATTTCGTCATTATATCTCAAGTGGTTCTGAAGATATCAAGGAATAAATAAGCGTTGGCTTTTTATCAAAATCTCTTCTAAATGTTGAAGCGATTCGAGGTTTATAAAAATTAAGAAATGAGAATCGTTATATCTCAACTGGTTCTTGAATTAGATTTTTTTAAAGATAGCTAGTTGGTGTTAACGTAGTTTTGCATGATTGCCAAATCACTTAAATATAAAGATTATATTTAGTATTAACTTAATCATTTATATCCCACGCGTTGTTATAGTATTAATTTTTTTTGGACTCATTACCACATCGAAATTTCTGTTTGTTTCAGTCTTTGACTAAGGAAGCGGACTGGGTACCGGGATTATCTGAAGAGAAAAGCGCCGGCGAGAGTTCATCCGATTACCCCAGGCACCCTCACGACACGGTAAGCGAAAAAAGTAGAAAGAAAAAAAAGAATAACAAAAGTTGCAGCGAGAAAGTTTAGAAAATTAAATTTTGAAGTGTTTAAGAACGTGAAAGATAAAAAAGATGGAATGAATGGGGTAGTTGAATGAATGAATCAAAAAGATTGAATGAGAAGAGGAGAAAGGAGTGAGAAGGAGAAAACTTTTTGGTGGTTACCCAAATAGACCGTCTTAAATTTAACCAAAAAGTTTTCTCGACATCGAGCGGTTTTTGGGCCGATGTGAAGTTGACATTCGTTTTGGCTTATAAATACTATTTAAAAACAAATACGATTAAAATAAAAAAGATTACAAAAAAAACACGATTAAAAAAATACTGTTAAGTAACGATTATGATGATTTAAAAGGTCGGTAAAATTTTTTTTATAAACGGTGACAGAGCCACTGTCGGGACTCACTCCTCCAGCCAAACAAAAGCGAGCGTTAACTTCTTGTAGTGGTGTCCTTCCCTAGAGAGATTTCGGGGGCGTAGTTGCGACCGACGCGCAAATGCGCCACAAAAAAAAAAGATTGAAAGCGCCAAAAAAAGCAACGCAAGAAGTTGATACGTCTTCTTTTGTTTGGTTGCAGGAGATGGACAGCAGGGACAGTGGATCGCCCAGATTGTACCAGTGCATGTATTGTGGCAGTGCGTTTCCGCACCAGAGCAAGCTCACAAGACACATCCTATCACACAGCTTAGAAACGCTTAAGTACCGCGAGATGCAACATCACCAGAGCCTCCAGTTACCGGAACCTTTGAATTTAATGGAAAGTCATTTTGGTCCTCGAGCTCCAGTTGTTCCGCACGATCCGCCGGATCCAACAGATCAACCACCGACTGCGATGGATCTTGAATTAACTGGTGATGGTCCGGGTGTAGTGTTATGTAAATTTTGTGGAAAATCATTTCCCGATGTGAGTTCATTGATTGGCCATCTACCGGTACATACCGGTGACAGACCTTTTAAGTGTGAGTTTTGCGGAAAAGCTTTCAAATTAAGGCACCATATGAAGGACCATTGCCGCGTACACACTGGTGAGCGACCTTTTCGATGCTCTCTGTGCGGAAAGACGTTCTCGCGATCAACGATATTGAAAGCCCACGAGAAGACGCACTATCCAAAGTACGTGAGGAAATTTCTTTCGCCGAGTCCATTGGATACCGAAGAGGAAAGCCCTCACTAGCGATCCCCAATCGCCGTTTCTTCTAGGACTTTTAGCAAACGCTAAAACACACCCGGAGGACGTAGGAGCGACGCTTCGTTAGAGAGCTTCTTGTATTATACTAGCTAAAATTTTTGAGAGGCGATTTTTCTCTCACACACACACCAACTTTTTTATAACAACGCTGCGTTAGCAATCACGATTTTTCTACGGACTTCTCGGTTGAGTTTCGGGTCCTTTTGGTTGTGACTAAAGATCTTTATTATTATCCTGGAGGCAGCCCAAACTTTTTTGCGAAAGGGGAATTTAACTCGAAAAGTACTCATTAAAGAAACAAGTTTAAGTTTTAATAAGGAAAATCTCACAGATCATAAAAAAACGATTATTTTAATAACAAGGTTTAAAAATATCGGTTAAGTTTTGAACACGAGGAGACAAGAATGTTTTTCAGCCCGGATTATTGAGATAAACACTTCAATTTTTTAATCTTTTATAATCATACTAATAATTAAAACACTTTGAAGCTAAAAGTTTATACTTTATTTTATTTGAATAAGTTATTGTTCTAAATTTATTGCTTTATTAAGAAAAAAGTTTTCAAATTAGGTTAAAAACTATAAATTTTCAAAAATGGATATCTCATGAAACAATATAGCTACAATCATGAATTATACATCATTTTGTAGCTAAAAGTGCGTACTTTATTTTATTTCTATAAATTATTATTCTAAATTTATTAGTTTATAAGGGATAACATTTTCAAGCTGATTAAATTTAGGTCAAAAAAACTTCAAAAAACCTCATAATATAAAATTATCAATATCTCATGAAATAATATCGCTAGAATCATGAGTGATACGTTAATTTCAAGCTAAAACTTTGTATTTTATTTTATTTATACAAATTATTGTTGTAATTTCATTAGTTTGGCAGAAAAAAAATCTCAGCTTGTCTAAATTAAATTAAAAGCTTCAAATTACCGTGATATAAAATTTTCGATATCTCATCTAATAATGTCGATAGAATCATGAATGATACGTCATTTTCAAGCAAAAAGTATGTACTTTGTTTTACTTCTATAAATTTTTCTTCTAAACTAATTAGTTTATTAGGAAAAAAAATTTCAAGTTGATCAAATTTATGCTAAAAACAATAAATTTTGAAAAAAGGTCGTAACACGAAATTATCGATATCTCTTGAATAAATATCACTAGAATCATGAGTCATACATCAATTTCAAGCTAAAAGATTATACTTTATTTTATTTGTATAAATTGTTGTTCGATATTTATTAGTTTAGTAGAAAAAGAATTCTAAAGTTTTTAAATTTACAACAAATTTGCAAAAACCTCGTAATATAAAATTTTCGATATCTCATGTAATAATGTCGATAGAATCATGAATGATGCGTCATTTTTAAGCTAAAAGTATATACTTTGTTTTACTTCTATAAATTTTTCTTCTAAACTAATTAGTTTGTTAGGAAAATAAATCCTAAGTTGATTAAATTTATGCTAAAAACAATAAATTTTCAAAAAAGGTCATAATACGAAATTATCGATATCTCATGAATAAATATCGCTAAAATCATGTGTCATACATCAATTTCAAACTAAAAGATTATACTTTATTTTATTTATATAAATAATTGTTCTATATTTATTAGTTTAGTAGAAAAAGAATTCTAAAGTTTATTAAATTTACAACAAATTTTCAAAAACTTCGTGATTTAACATTTTCGATATCTAATGTAATAATGTCGATAGAATCATGAATGATACGTCATTTTCAAGCTAAAAGTATGTACTTTGTTTTACTTCTATAAATTTTTCTTCTAAACTAATTACTTTATTAGGAAAAAAAATTTCAAGTTGATTAAAAAATTTATGCTAAAAACAACAAATTTTCAAAAAATCTCATAATACAAAATTATCGATATCTCATGAATAAATATCGCTAGAATAATGTGTTATACATCAATTTCAAGCTAAAAGACTATACTTTATTTTATTTGTATAAATTATTGTTCTATATTTATTAGTTTAGTAGAAAAAGAATTCAAAAGTTTTTAAATTTGCAACAAATTTGCAAAAACCTCGTAATATAAAATTTTCGATATCTCATGTAATAATGTCGATAGAATCATGAATGATGCGTCATTTTTAAGCTAAAAGTATGTACTTTGTTTTACTTTTATAAATTTTTCTTCTAAACTAATTAGTTTGATAGGAAAAAAAATTTCAAGTTGATTAAATTTATGCTAAAAACAACAAATTTTCAAAAAATCCCATAATACAAAATTATCGATATCTCATGAATAAATATCGCTAGAATAATGTGACATACATCAATTTCAAGCTAAAAGACTATACTTTATTTTATTTATATAAATTATTGTTCTAAACTTATTAGTTTATTAAATCTAAAGTTTTTAAATTTACAACAAATTTGCAAAAACCTCGTAATATAAAATTTTCGATATCTCATGTAATAATGTCGATAGAATCATGAATGATACGTCATTTTCAAGCTAATAGTACGTACTTTGTTTTACTTCTATAAATTTTTCTTCTAAACTAATTAGTTTGTTAGGAAAAAAAATCTCAAGTTGATTAAATTTATGCTAAAAACAATAAATTTTCAAAAAAGCTCATAATACAAAATTATCGATATCTCATGAATAAATATCGCTAGAATAATGTGTCATACATCAATTTCAAGCTAAAAGATTATACTTTATTTTATTGGTATAAATTATTGTTCTATATTTATTAGTTTAGTAGGAAAAGAATTCTAAACTTTATTAAATTTACAACAAATTTTCAAAAACCTCGTAATATAAAATTTTCGATATCTCATGTAATAATGTCGATAGAATCATGAATGATACATCATTTTCAAGCTAAAAGTATGTACTTTGTTTTACTTCTATAAATTTTTCTTCTACACTAATTAGTTTGTTAGAAAAAAAAATCCCAAGTTGATTAAATTTATGCTAAAAACAATAAATTTTCAAAAAAGCTCATAATACGAAATTATCGATATCTCATGAATAAATATCGCTAGAATAATGTGTCATACATCAATTTCAAACTAAAAGATTATACTTTATTTTATTTATATAAATTATTGTTCTATATTTATTAGTTTAGTAGGAAAAGAATTCTAAAGTTT